CCACTGTCTGAGGTGGACCAGGATGAGATGACCCTGATGAGGTCAGCCAACAGGGAGGAACACACCTCAAAAGCGTGTGGAGAATGAGTCACCTGAAGCCCACCTCGGCAGCTGGAAGTCCTAGAGAAGCAGGGAGACTGCACCCCGATACACAGGAAGCTATGGCAGCACTAGCAGGGAGTTGTGGCTGATTCTGGAGCCAGATCACCTGGGCTCACGTCCCAAACTAGCAGCATGACCTTGGGGAGCTTTCTAACCCCTCCATGCCTCGGTTTCTTCATCTGTAAGATAGGAATAATTCAAGTCTAGTGTTTTTATGAGGATTAAACAAGATCATTTCTGTAAAGCACTTGAGCCCGAGCTCGGCCAAAGGAGACCTCCCAGTGCAAGTCTTTGTTAAATAATCCAGTGTGGATTGGCCAGACTTCGTGTCTCCGAAGAGCTTGACATTGTGGGTGGTGGGCCAGCCCTGTTTAGGACATGGGTCTTTCTCCTCCATCACCTGCCCAGCGGTGTCTGGGAAACCAGCAGCCCTCAGGCTGGCTGTCCCAGGTCTGTTCTGGAGGGATGACGGGGGCAGCAAGCAGCACTGACAGCCTTGGGGTGAGCGGCTGTTCCCAGGGTTCTTTGCGGAGGGGAAAGTCGGGGGGATCCTTAGGACAGAAACTGGCCCTATTTTCCTCTTGGAGTTGGAGCAATGGAGGTACCAGTTCTGCACATTTATGAGAGCTGTGGGTGGGGCAAGTCTCACTTCTCTGCCCTCAGCGCCGGGGAGTTTTCACTCCAATACAAACGGAGGGGATTCCCCCCCATCCCTACAGCCTTTGTTAAACGGTGCCCCTGTGTTCCGAGGCTCACTCTGCCTTTGGAGATCAGCAAAGGTCCGAATCCCAGTCTGTCACTTTTTTTTTTCAAAGACTTTATTTATTTATTTAGAGCTCGGTGAAGAGCAGAGGGAGAGGGAGAGAGAGAATCTCAAGCAGTCTCTTCACTGAGCACAAGAACCCGACATGGGGCTTGATCTCACAACTCTAAGATCAAGACCTGAGCCGGGGGGAAAAGAGAAAAAAAGAGACGAGCTGAAGTCAAGAGTCAGACGCTTAACCAACTGAGCCACCCAGGTGCCCCAGGTCTGTCACTTTGGAGCTGTAAGACCTTAAACAAGGATGTGGGATGGAAGCTTCTGTGAGCCTCAGTTTATCACCTGTAGGATGGGAATAATATTAAGGCTCTCATAGAGCTGTGGGGGGTCAAGTGAGATCAAGTCTATAAAACACATAGCTGAATATAACATATATAATAAGGACCCAGTAAATGATAGTTAATAACGTATATATGCAAGCAAATGTATTAAATACCTATGGATCGATCAATCAACCTATAGATAGATACCTCCTATGAATAAGCTGACCTCTCTCTGTCTTCAGTGACAAAATAGGTTGATTTGAAGCATTAGCCGAAGGGTGACTTTAGGAACTGGAAAATAAACAGAACTTAAAACTATGTTTAGTTGAAATGCCCCGTCAGCACAGCAATGAGTAAACATTTCAAAGTAATTCTTCCCTTTGTACAGCATTTTAACTTCTTACATTTATTTGCTATTTTTAATCCGGTGGTGATTTCTTCACCAACCCAACCCGTCAAGTTGGGCTTCCTTATTCAGAGACGGGGCCTGGAAATTTGTGCTTGCCGACACACGGCTCTGGGCACTAGGCGGGCTCCCCGGGGCACCCCTACAGGCCGTGCGGGCACACGCAGACCCCCTGCTCTCTGACGTCGGGGCTGTAGTGAGGAAAGCCCTTCTCCCACGAGAACCCCTTCTTCTGCGGGGCTCAGTCTGGGACCCTGTGTCCGTCTCGGCCTGTCTTAGAGAACCTAACAGACGGGCTGCTCCAGCCTCCTGGCCACTTGTCTCTGAGACGGTCACAGCCAGGGGCCCTGGCATAGCCCAGCTGACACTCCTGCGTTACCCACAAACTGGATGACATCTTCTAAGTCGGGGAGTTAGGAGTTAGTGAATATTGGAGTATGAGTACTTTCAGATGACCGGCTGGGTTCTTGCCCCACTTACCTAGCCAGTAAGGAAGAACGATGGCTCCTTTTTCTTTTTCCGCTGAGATATAACTGACTTGCCATAAATTTTACCACTTAAAAGGGTGCTGTTCAGTGGGTTTTAGTGTATTCCCTGAACTGTGCACCCATCACCATGCTCTAGCCCCAGGACATTGTTATCGCCCACCCTTCTTTTTTTAAATTCACAGTTTGGGGACAAGACTGATGGATAGGGTGGCTAGAGAGTGGGACTCCTTGGGCATCTGTGGTTACATTTCAGGCCTAGAGGCTTCTAGGCATCTCATTTCACAGCCATATCTGGGGATGCAGATTATATGTAGCTGGGGGCTTACGTCGAAGCTTGTCCACGCTACTTCCGTAGCCCCTCCTCTCCATAAGTTAGGGTATGTGTATGTCTGGGTGCTGGAAATACAGACAGGCTGGGTGTCCTTGAGCCTGGTGGGGCTGGGGACAGGTGAGACAGACTTGGGCACCTACTATGTAAAACAGTTCTTGCTTACACAAAAAGGCTGAACAGAAAAAAAAAAAAAAGTAAGGCCTGGATATGGTTTGGCCTCTCTGGATGAAAAAGTGCATAAGAATCTAATTCTTTAGTTGCCAGAACCTGATGTCTCCAAAGGGAATTCATTCACCTGTTGGCTGCCCGGGTCGAGGCCTTTCAGTGGCTCTTCAAGGAAAGCAAGAAGAGACAGGGCCAGTGAGGGCAGAGGCTCTCAGTGGCACTCGCAGGTGTCTGTATGCAGAGAGTGGAGAGCTAATGCATCCCCAGGGCCTGGCACTCCCCAGAGGTCCCTTACATGAGCTGGGGCCCCATGCCCCAAAGCCTGGCGGTGTACAGGCACTCTTTCTAGTGCTTTGTATCCAACTGCCTCAAGGGGCAGAGGTCCCACAGGATTTACTGAATCCTCACTATGAACCTGATGCTGTCTGTGCACACAAGGACACCAAGGCTTGGAGAGGCTAAGCAATCTGCAAAATTGAGGCAAAATCACAGGGGCTTCAGGAGTGAGGCTGGGAGTCTCAAAGGCACACCTGGGGTCCTAGTTCTGGCCCATTTTCCTCCCTGTGATGGTGGCCAAGGTTTACCCTTCTGGTCCCTGATGTCCTCACCTGGAAATAGGGGCAGTACTGGTACCCATCTCAGGACCATCTGAAGATTGAACAGCACTGCCTGCGGAAGGGCTCACGACGATGCCAGGCGCGCTGGAGTACTCCAGGCAAATGAGCTGTTATGATTGCTCAAGGTCATTAGCAAACCAGGAGCAGAACCCACTTTCCCTTCCATCACCATGTGCTACCTCCAGAGTCACTTTCCACATTTGAATCTTCCTGAGACTTTGAGGATCTGGGAAGGCCGTCTTCACCCTGTCTGCCCCATGGTGATGGCCATGGGGGGGGGGGACTGTCCCCTCTCCTGCTGCTGGCATGGGGAAAGGTCAGCCTGACCTGCAGCCAGCCTCCTGCAACTGGGCATTCTCACCTGCTGGCTGGCTCTTTCCTCTTCTAGGACTGTTCTAGAATCCCTGGAAAAGTCTGGGAGACATTGGGCTCCACAGGACTAATCTCTGAGCCTCAGGATCCTCATCCATCAGATGGAAGCAGCGCACACCTGGCCTCCACTTGCTCCCCAGTGTGCCCAGATGTGATTACCCACCTGGGTGGCAGCCGCTTGCCTGTCGCCCCGAAAAGGGACGTTTTCTCCTCAGTACAAGACAAATCAGCTTCAGCTGTCGCGTCAGGGAGCCAATGCACCAGCAACTCAAACGACCCCAACCTTCAGTTTTGTCCACATGGAAGAGACGGGAGCCGACTAGGTAGGTCACAGGTGCATCGCGCAGAGTCCTGGGAGCATTGTGTGGGTCTTCGAGGACGAGGACGGTTTGCTTCTCACTCCGTCCCGCAACAACCCCCAGGGCAGAAACACTTGCAGAGGGAGCCCCCGGGCTGCTTGGCTCAAGGTTCTGAGGTCCAGACCCGGTGGGACTGGGTGGGATTTAAGACGGTCGGGAGCGGCGTAGTGGCCGGGGATCCGCTTCCCCACAGCAGAGAGAGGAAGGGGAGTCTTTGGAGCCGCCTCCGCACGTGCGCCCCCACCAACCCCGAGGGCGTGGGGGGAAGGCACCGTGGAAACCGCTAGAAATGGGAGGCGCGCACCTTGCGGGCGGCCCGGCTCCTCCCCGCAACTCCGTCCCCCGGACCCCGGAAGGCGGGCGCGGGAAAATGCGCCCTGCCCCGCGCCCTCGGCTCCGACCGAGCGCCTCCTGCTCCCCGGGCAGCGCCGGACCCAGGACCCCCAGCGGCCCGCAGGGCCGGAACTTGGGGGCGCGGTGAGCGGGGGCGGGGCGCCGGGCCGGCGGGCGGTGGCTTTCGGCGGGGCGCCGGGTCCCGGCCCTGGAAGCCCTTTCCCGTCTCCTTAAATCCGCGGCTGCGTGGGACCTCCGAGCTCTCCCGGCGGGCAGCGTCGGCGACGACAGATCCAGACCCGGGACACCTCCTGCGCCCGCGCCCGGGACGCGACGTGATGCCTTCTTCCCTGTTCCCGGGCAGAGGCCGCGCCGGTGGGCATCGCGGCGAGCGCTCCGCGCTGTCTGCTTTCTTCCAGCGCCCCCGGCCCGCCCGGGCTTCGGGCCCGCCGCGGAGGGGCGAGGGGCCCCAGAAGGGTGGCGATGGCCGTGGAGCCGGGACGTGGGCTCCGGGAGGCGCGCCCGGGCCCCCGCGGTAGGCGGACCGGCCCCCCGGCGGAGCGCGCGCCGTCTCCCTCCGGGGCGCCCCGCACCCCCCCACCCCGACGTGACCCCGGCGCCGGCAGCGCCCCCGCCCCGAAGCCCGCGCAGGCTGGCGCCGCCCCCAGCGCCGCTCCTTTGGCCACCTGGCCCTTCCCTTCTCAGGCGGGGGAGGCCGGCGCCCCACCCGTCTGGGGGGAGCCGACTCGGGGGGTCTCGAGCTGGAGGGCCGTGTCCCCCGCCCCGGGGCCGGGTGGTGCGCGCAGGAGGAGGACCCAGAAGCGGGCTCTGCCTGGGCTTGCCTGGGCTTGTTCAGAGCCTGGCTGCTTCCCTCCGTGACCGCGCAGATCCGCGGGGATTTCGAGATTTTGCGGGAGCTGCCGCCGAGCCCCGGGAGGAGGGGGCTGGAAGCCCGCGCGGCTTGTCGCCTCGTCCCACGGTGAGCGCAGGTAAGCGCTTGTGTTCTCGGTCTGTTTGAGAGTTCGGAAGGAGGGAGGCAGGAACTTATTCAGTCATAATAATGGGAACGCTGTTGAATTGTGTGGCCTCCGAGTCAGGAGAAAAATTTCCAAGAAGCAACAAAATGCTCTTTGATTTCGTAATCTCCGGAGAGAAAGGATTCCTTTAGTGCGTTTTGCGTGGCTGGTGATTTCTTTCTTCCCCACTCTCCGTGGTGGCTGCGGGAGGGCTCCCTAGTCCGGGGGTGGACATGGGGCCTCTGGTTTTATCGGTGCTGGTTCCCCACGATGGGAGCAAATACCTCGGTCTCCTGAAAGTGGGGGCGCTGAGGCTGGCTGGCTGCCCACGGTGCCCCTGACAGATCTCAGCAGCTATGAAACGTCCTGTGGTCACTACAGTAGTGTTTTACCCGGCGTCCCCTCGGCCAGCGTATGTTTGAAAGAGAGGAACAGGAGAAGGAGTTTCAGCCTTCCTGTCCCCAAGGGGAACATGAGCCCTCCTCCCCTCCAGCGCCTGGTGGCCAGAACGGGTGGGCTGGGAGCTGCAGGTCAGGATGGAGGCTGGATCGGGAAATGGCAGTGTGGAGGACCCCTGCCCCAGGTTAGGTGGCTGTGGCCTGGTAGCTGGGACAGGGCCCATGCTCCTGCGCCTTCACCATCTCAGGGAGCGAGGGAGCAGCGTGGCTATGCGGAAAGACCCAGGGCCTATGCCCTCTGGGTACGTTCAGGCTGGTCTCCTGCTCTAAGGAGTGGCTGGGCTTCCTGGACCCCTTCAGCTGATGCTGAGAGCCACATCACGGGGGCAGAATGGCTCACTGTGTGCGTGGCCAGTTCTGCCTCTGCCCCCAGGTGTGAGAGGCCTTTGGGACAAAGGGCCACTCCCCTGAGTCTTGGCATCCCAGCCTCTGCCCTAAGGGCCGTGCAGTGGTGGCTGAGCTGGTGCGCTGGGCAGGATGGGTGGCCGGGCAGGGGGCGAGGCTCCTGTACTTGCCAACATTCTCTTGGGGGTCTGTCCAGGGGCAGAGGGCTGATGGGACAGCATCAGCTGGGACCTTGGGGGCCCATTGACATCTGGGTTAGTGGCCTGTCTCTCGAGCTTCCCAAACTTGAGGACTGGCCAGGACTGGCCTGCTTTGCCCTGCCTGACCCGCTGTCTGGCTGGCCTCAGGGATCCCCTCGTTAACAGATGTGCAGCCACGAGACTGCACTTTTTCACTCCTTACGCCGTACCCTTGGTGCACATCTCAAACCGAAAGTCCCCGGGTCCTTCCATCACGGCACGGAAGATAATACTTCCCATCAGCCGTGTGAGCTGATTGCTGTCCTCGCCCTGCACCTGCCCTTGTCCTGGGCTGAGTGTGGAGGAAGATGGAAGTACTAAACCATGCAGTGAATGCTGCCCCTGGTTGTAGGCTGCCCAGCCTCCGGTCACAGGAGATCAGATATAGGTTGTAAGAGAAACTAGGTACCTGGGACTCATTCATTCATTCCCTCAGCAGATACGGACTGAGTCCTTGCTGTGTGCCAGCATTGGCGTTAGGAAGCAAAAGGCAGATCTTTGCTTTTGTGGAGCCGATCTTCTGTTGGAGGAAACAGGTGGTACCTGCCCATGATGGACATTTGAAACGTTTCGGTTGTGATAAATGCCGTGGAGGGGCAGGAAGGTGGAGCGTGCCAAGAAGGGGTTGTTCATGTTGATGGGGGAGGGAGGGGTTAGGTCATTGAGGAGAAACCTCAACGGCCCAGGAGAAGGGTCTTTGGGCAGAAGGGTCACGAGTGCGAAGGTTCTATGTTTGGTGCATTTGTGAGAAGTTGGCAAGAAAGCCAGCAAGACTGGAGGTGAGTGAAGTCAGGCAGGAGCCAAACCATCTAGGGCTCTCTTTGTGTGCTCTGGGGCTTAGAAATCTTCACATTTTTAAAACTATCACCCTGGTGATCTCAGGGTCCTGGGATAGAGCCCCTTTTTCTCCCTCTCTATCAAGTAAATAAAATCTTTAAAGTAAATAAATAAAACGATCACTCTGGCTGTTGTGTAAAGACCATCCAGAGCCAAGAAGGGTGGCAGGGAGACCTCCTGGAGGCTGTTCCGTGGGCTGGAAACCACAGGGGGTTGGACTGGGCTGTAGCGCGGAATAGAGGCATAGGGTTGGAAGGGAGCACGAACAGGATGTACTGCTGGGTGCACGTGGGGAGATAGGACACAACGTGGAAGAGACAAAGACGATGCCAGTGTCTGTGGCTTACGCAGATGGGTAAATTGTTTCTTGGGGGCGGGGGATGGGGAGCAGGCTGCACGGTTTTATGGGGATCTGGAGTTGTGTTTGGGCTCTAGCGTGTTGCCCTGTTGGACACCCAACTGGAGCTGGTATTGGCTGCCGGAACCTGGAGCGTAGGAGATTGGTCTGGCAGGGGCATCGGTGTGACTAAGATGGTCCCTCATGCCATGAGATTGGGCGAGGTTGCTGAGGGGCTGGGTGGTGGCAGTTTGAGGGAGAGCAGGAGGTGGAAACAGTCATCTTGCCGAATGGGGAGGGACTGGATAGGAGAAGGGACAGAACAGTGCCTGGCATGTGGCAGATATTTGGTGAATAAATTTGTGGGATGCCTAGACGGGTCAATGTGTGCACAGTTGCACGCGTGTGTAGGAGTGCGGTGTGCAGAGCGGAAAGACCAGCTGGGGGATGTCATAGGCTCCTCGGTGCTGTGGGATTTCAGGGGCTCACAGAGCTGGGGAGAGCCCAAGGCAGTTCCGTGGCCGTAGAAGGGATTGGGTGTGAGCTTGGGTGAACAGCCAGGGCTCTGAGGCCGTTGGGAGAGAAGGGAGAGTCACATCAAAGGGGATGGCGTTAACGGAATTAGGAGCGCGGAGTATGTTTCGAGGTGTGTTAAGGAGCTTGACTGTGGGTGGCTGGAAGGTTCTTAGCAAGGGAGAGCTGGTGCTGCTGAACGGCGGAGACCCCCCGGGGAGCCGGAGCGCTCTGCCCCCCCACCCTGTCACACACCCCCATAGAAGCCGGCGCCTTTATCTCGTAGGCTGACAGTGACGGCCGCGCGCCTGTGTGCTTCGGGGGGAGGCAGCAGGGGCTACTTGAAACTCCGCTTCAGTGATTCAAGGGTCCTTAGGAATGAAAGCGTTTGGTGGCTGGTCTCTAGGTCTGGCTGCAGACGCCGTACGCAGGCAACTAGATGCCAGGGTGTGGACTGGCTTTGTTCATTCCTGAGCACCTCCGTTCTCTGGGGGGTCTGCCGTGTCCACGAAGCTTAGGGTTTTCTGGTCAAGGATGTGGTGGCCGGGCCCACCTCTGTCTGCCGCTAGCTGCGCACATCTGCAAACGGGACTTAACCTTCCTGGGTTTGGTTCTTCTTCTCTCAAACTAGGCTGATTGTGTCGGGACCTCCTTTGGAGACCCGTGGTGTAAGTACCCAAGGTCACATGTATAGACCAGGGCCCCAGGAGCTGGGGTCTCCTGGAAGACATCCACGGAGATCCAGAGCTTTCCCTGCCCAGATATTCAGTGCTGTTGATAAATCAAAAGAACCTTTCTCTACACTGATAGTATTTAGTGAGGTTTTTGGAGCTGTTTGATTGATTTTTGCATTGCAAATATCCCTCTCAACTTCCCCTTCCTAAAAAGGAGGCTTTCATTTTCGTTGCTGTTGCTAACTAGGAAGGCAGATATTTAAATGAAGTAAAATGGAGGCGCCTGGGTGGCTCAGTCAGTTAAGGGTCCGACTCTTGATCTCAGTTCAGGGCTTGATCTGAGGGTCGTGAGTTCAAGCCCCTCGTTGGGCTCCACACTGGATGTGGAGCCTACTTTTTAAAAAAAATCATTAAATGGAGGAAAATGCCTTGTTGATACAGACAAAATACATCCTGCTCCCCAGGTTGCTGGCTATGAGCAGGAGGCAACAGACGGCTGTGTGTCGTGGGGGGCTCCCGTGCACGGAGCCCACAGTGGTGACCGGTCTCACCCTGGGGCCCCACCTTGACCTCTGTCATTTGATGTGCGGCTTGCCCCTTTCTGAGAGTGGTCCTGGCTTACTCCTCCCTATTTCCCACATGACCTCTTACAGGTGGGCACGCCTGCTGGATTCCCTTCACCTCCCCTGGGAAGAAAGGGAGGGTCCATCCACAAGGCCAAGTGTTGTCTTGGCAGTGGAAGGGTGGGGGGCAGGGGTGAGTTGGCTTGGACCAAATCGGTTCCCAGTCCTGGCGTTAAACCTATTCTGAGGCTCTCTGGTCATGATAAAATTCATGAACATAGACTTGAAATTTCAAACTGGATACGACTACTGTACTCATAACCCATGTATCATGAAACCCACCACCAATGGTGGGGCAAAGCCAGTGTCATATCCTAGACCATGTGATCGACCCCCGAACGATACAGCCCCTCCTCCAGAACCTCAGCAAGGCTGGTGGTTGTCAAAAGTGTCGCCAGACCCCGAAGGTGATGAACGTCCCTTGCCTCCGACCTGGGGAGGTGGAGAAACAGTTCCTGATACTCTTCTGGGGAAGTTGCTGGCTCAGAGAGGGAGCTGTGTGGAAGCTACTTACCCCGGGTGCCGACCAGCTGTCTTCCTGTCCTGATAGCCCCTCCCTGGGCACAACCAGATGAGGGGTGCCCGGTGGGATGAAGACGAACTCTGAGAGACTGCGCTGGCCTTTGGGGGCAGAAGTGGAATCAGCCAGGGTAAGACCCACAGACCGGTCAGCGTTCACCTGGGGCCCCTTCCCTTTCGGTCTCAGGCGTAACGCCCCTCACCAGCTGTGCCACCGTTCCAAGCCCGCACCCCACTTTGGCGCCCGCTGAGGACGGTCCTGTCCCCTCAAATGCATCTCACCCCCGAAAACACTTCAAACCTTCCGTCCCCTTAGAGCCACTTATAAGCCACATCATTCAACACCGACTGGGGGAAAAAAGCAAACTTCCCCCGCCTCTCTCATTCTCCTCCCTGCACCAAAGAATCACACCTTCTTTCAAATGCTT